TTGTCTTCATCCACACGCGCGCTTGACGCATAATTTAGGTCTGAGTTGCGTCCTTGGAGTCTACGACAAATAATGAAATGAGCATTCTTTATTTTTGAAATATGGTAATGGAGTACAAAACCTTTTTTACCAATTGTAGGGACAATTTTTGTAATGCAAATTGTAAGAAATTCTTATTGCGTTCTTAAAAAACATGTAAAGGAAAAAGATAATGAGCTGAAAATAATAGAATAGAGACTAGATGTAATGGACTACATGTTGGCATGACTCTGAATCGTCGTTCATATATATTTCGTATACAGCTAAACCAGTCATGGTGTCACATAGAATATAACGACCAGTCGTGGAGCAACTGTAACACAGTGAGAAACAAAAACGCACTAGAGTACGAAAATTTTGTTTCTGGCTATTTTAACATATCACAAGTTTTAATCAGCTATGAACAATCATGCAGATGTTCATTCGTGAAACTCTTATTACTGCACTTAATACGTAGGATAAAAAAAGATGTCAGTTACAGAAATATAAAAATTTCTAAATTTTTAGTAGATCCGAGCGGCTCAAGTCTTTTGCTTGGACTGCCGGTGTCTGAAGAGATTCTTGCTTGTCCTACCCGGCTCGGAACTTGGTCTGAAAAAGTTCGCCTTGGTCCGTTTGAGATCCTGATGCTCACTATGTGTTGAGTATTCTTCGACACAAATAGTTACTTTCTCTGATATTGAAAAACAGTCGACTGCCGAGAGCTGGAAAGGTAGAGAAAGAGTTGCATTCTATATTCAACAATTATGTTCCTTACATCTATTCAAAACAATACCGTCGCATGAAACCTAATATACTGAATCGTTTAAGCAACGATCCGTGTTCGATTCTGTAGGTGTTCGAGATCGACATTGAGATTTTCATTTAGGTATGAATGTCGAAAACTGCCTAGCATAAATGCCAATTTGAATCTAAACGAGACCAACTAAGATTCACTACCATAAGCAATCTTCGATGGAATCTTCCACCTCGAAATCGTATGTCGTTATCGTATCTTCATTACTACGGCGAAATCAGGTTTTTTTGACGCATTTCGTTATCTACTCGAAACTCCACTTGCCGGATACAGCGTCACCAATTACATATGCCCCATTGATCATTATGTGTTCATGCGTTATAGTTCTTTAGAGTTCGGAACTGATGGATGTGAGTGTTTGAGAGTGAACAATTCATACAACACAGTCCTTCGAATATCTTTGGTTTAGAACGACATGAAATGGCGGTTTTTTATGCTTGTTCTCCCTATGTGTATCCTGGAAGGATGAACTGTGTGAATTGAAGCTTACGATAAGTGTTGCTTTAGTCAGCGAGATTTATACAGACAAAAGATTTCAATACTTTTCATAATTTTGCTCTTGAGATAATTGAGTAAGTAGGTATTGCAGGTAAGAATACTTTGTCTGATATTTACTGTTGTTCATCTTTTCTAGATTCAAAGTTTCGCATGGGAGTTTCAATGGACAAATATCAGCTTCTCTCTTTTCGATAGCAGTCATTTATTTTAGTTCTCATCCATTGTTCCAGACTTCGGTAACACTTTTTTTATTTGCTTGAAGATCTCTTATTGTGGCCTTAGTCCTTCGATGGTACCTTCACTGCAGATTAAACAGCAGCTACTATCTATATGTCGTATCGCTGCAAATAATCGGATTAAGATTTTGTTCATAATCAGTCTTTTTCTATCAATTTTCTATATATCTTCAATTTCTCAGAAAATGGACGTCGCTATATATTTTCGACATGTACCCAAAACAGCTTACTATGTGAAACATAATCAGTTTACATTTAATGCAACAAATATTGTACTAAATTCATCGAACGCATTATGTCAAATCTATGAAGAACAGTTTTCTCAATATACTACTGCTCCATTTTCACCCACCTATCAAAATCATCGTCTAATACTCAAATTCAGTCTTAGATCGATAGCAACATATCTGTATGGTGATGCCGACAGTTTCCAAGGTTCCATTCGGCATCTACGAATCGCATGTTTGCAAAAATGTGTAAATGAGACGACATTTCAGCAAAGTTTCAATTTAACTTTACGTTTCAATGTTCAACAGATTAATGCACAAGCGATATATTTCACATTGAATTCTAGAACGACGGTTGAACTTCCCTTAAACATGAAAACCGTACCGGCAAATGCGCGAATCGATCTAATCACTCAGATAGTTGTTCATGTCAATCGAGTTTTCTCCATTGACACTGTTTTCAGTTTTACATATCAATGGCTTGACTCATATGTTTTGAATTTTTTTCATTGGCCTCAATGGCCCTTGAAAAAATCTTGTGCAAATCGTATTTTGAATGATATTATCCAAAATCGTACTAGCGATCCCCAACGGCATTTTTCCTGTTCAATTACCAGTATTTTAACTCACTCCACGTCACGACAGTTGTTCACTGATGAGCGAGTTGCCATTACTGATTGGCTCGATGTACAATATAATGCGACAAAAACACATTCATTTTCCAGAGAGCATCCATTGAATGATCAACTGTCATCAACAACAAGAACAAGACGTCTTAGTTCATTTGAAGTGGCGTCGAATACCAAGGTATGTTCAGTTGAATTTTACAGTTGGATTTCGAAATATCAAGACTGGCATGCAAATATTAGTTCGAGCATCAGTGATCCAAGATTGACTTTTGAGGAGCAGCGTGATCGCATTGTCGAACAAAATATTCGTTTCATGCTCTATAAAAAGAGTCCTTCAGGCACTGCTGATCGCATTGTTCATTTGATGACAACCTACCTGATCGCGATATTAACTAATCGATTATTCTTATTCGATGAGGATTGGCCGGAATTTTCTCATGTCATGCTGACAAGTTTGAATTATGAACGAGAATCAGTGATTCCGTGGTTTCGTAGTCTGGGTCGTCTAAATAAGTATCTGTCTCGAAATGATTCAAAATATCTCATATCGGGCGAGTATAAGTTTTCTTTCGATCGACTATCTCGTGATTATAACTATGATCGAGAGTTTTCGGAACGAATTCTCATTTTTCAAGCTCATACTGGTGGCATTGGACATATGATGACGTCGCAAACAAGTGTCTATCGTAAGTTTCTAACAGAGGATCTACATATGCATGCAGATAGCATGTTTGGATGTCTCTACCATTCGCTATTTCTTTATCGACTGTCAGCCTTAATCGAAAGAACATCCATAAGTATTAGTACGGACTCTCTGCAACAAGAGCAGCTTGGCCATTCTTCACAGCAACTTCTACAAGTACTTTTATCGCCAAATTTTTATCCTATTGGCATTCAAGTACGCACTGGAGACGCGACCATGAAAGACGACAATAGTAAGAGTTGGTTCAAGCGTGCTACTAGTGAAAACTCAGTGCTAGAATCATATCAATACTTCCTCACTTGCGCACGAGATATTGTCGATGGAAATCAAACATTTCTCACTAATATCAACCAAGTGCCCATTGCTTTTCTCATATCAGATACTGCTCGCCTTCGTCGGGCAGCCCTGTTACGTTGGAAATTACCATCGTCTTGTCTTCAATCACTCGGAAAAGAATGCCGAAATCAAACACATTCATTGCCTATTATAGCCAACTCAAATCCTGTTTTGCATATCGCCTATACATCACAACGTTTATTAGCACTTCATCTGGCCATGTTTGATGTTTTCCTCTTTGGTTTATGCGAACAACATGTTATTAGCGTCGAGAGTGGTTTTGGTAACATCGGAGCGTTTGCAGCCTTGAAACAACGAAACGTCTATTCGCTTTCGACACTTACACATAAGTCGTGTGTTGGTAAAAATCAAGACATTCCTATGGTGAACTCTAGTTACCAATGGTCCGGTATTTAATGAAAATGCGATACAGCCCTCTAGACTAAATCGGATCTAGCATTTCAAAAATCCGTTTTGTTTTTGTTCGTTCTAATTAATTTTACATTAAAATAAAACGTGATTTTTAGGTCATAGTTGGTTCGAAGTATCCTCTATATGCAGACGAAAAAATTTTCAAAAAATCGTGAACTGAAGAAAAAAGTACTAACTACAATAACAAGGATTATATCGAGCTGATTCAAATTACTTCACTTGGAATAATTCAGTTCACTCCAGCTAATTCAGCTAAAGATCATTTATAAAACCTCTACCACTTTTAGGGTACCGCCTCAATTAGTACTTCTGCGAGAAAAGTTGTTTATCTCTCTTTTTTCTACTACAGTGTAAAAAATAATATTCATATCACAATGAGACTGATAAAGTATTATTCTATTTAACGAACTGAGAGGGAAAAAACGTTTGTCAGCACAGTTCCTTCGAAGCTAAAATGTAGAACTCACAGATATTCTTTAGCCTCATTATACTAATACAAAATACGTCAAATGATAAATCTGTAACAGAGTATAGCTATTTTCCCACTATAATCGATTACCAAAAAAAAACAATCTGTCTTATTTCTGTTTATTTTCCAGAGTTATAACTTGATCAGTGTACGCTCTTTATACTGATCATAGAACGACTGTGGCAAATCAATACATCACCATCCATCATCGTTGACATTTTGTATATAACTTTTCATTTTGTGGAAAACTAAAAATAAACCTGCACTATTTAAGACATTCATAAACTTGTTTCAGTGATTCAAACATCGAAGAAGGCTTTGAAATTTTCTAGAATAATATAAATCTTGTTTTTTCGTTGCTATGAAAGTAGAAGGAAGCCGTAATACTTGCACTCACTATATTTCTCCTCGAAAAACATAATACAAGTTTCATACAACAAAGGAAAAAAAAAGTATTACGATTTAATGCTTTATAATCTTTCTTAATTTTATTTCAAAGCAAATATTATTAAGAATAAAACAAACGTTAAAAATAACGTATTTACAAAATTTTTTGAAAATTTGTAATTTTTCTTCTCTATTGAAATTTAAATTTACAGAATGTCAACAAATAAATAGTAAAATATAATATTTTTTCATGTTAATTGAAATAAAGAAAACATCAATTGATTAAATGTATTATAATCTGTTGTTTTTCTTACAGTTTCTTCCATTATATTAATTAAATTTTGAAAACGTAAAATTTGTGTAATTATTATTTCTATTGATTTTATTGCTTCTCGTTCTCCAAATAAATAAATTAAATAACGCCAAAGTACTATTGTATAAAACTCATGTATTCTATATATATCTATTTTATTGATATAAACATTAAATTGATTAGTACCACGTGGTGGAGATAAATTAATACTAAATAAAAGAACAATAAGTGCAAGTTTTATAATCAATGGATGTTCTATAAAACGATTAAAATATCGACGTGTTCGAGACATTTCATAATGAAAATCTTCATTTATCCATTTTGACATATATAAACCAATAAATGGTCTTTCTTGAAATTTTTCTATGAGAATATAATGTAAATGAATTATTGTAATAAGATTACATTTAATTAATAAAACTTGATCATCCATATGTAATTGTTTAAATTCAGGTATATATTTATAAAAATAAATTAATGATTGATGTATTATACTTTCTTCATTAAAAAATTCTATTAAAGATGGTGATGATGTATATTTATTTAAGCAACAAATATCAATATGATTAGCTCCTATTTGATAAGCATTTGTAATATTATTTAGTAGAATTTGATCTTCATTAGATAGATTATGATTAAAACCAAAAATTGTTTGTGTAAAGATCTTGAAAAAAAAAATGATAAACAAATATTATAATTATTATTCAATGATTATTTATATTTACCAGTTTAGGTACAAATTCTTGATTTGTTGATTTTATTATTAAACGTTTTTTCTTTCGTAGAACTTGTGAAAAATTAATAAGAGATTGTTGATCATTCGATAGATCATTTATTTTCTTTTGTTCTTTTGTTAATTTTATTAATTGTCTTAATTGTTTTTCTTCTTCAGTACGAATCCAATCTTTACGCATTTTAATATCAAAACATTTTTTTAATCGACAATATGTACATTGACGACGTGTATTTACATTAATAATACATGAACTAGAATACCGACATTTTAAATCCGGCTAAAAAAGAAGTAATAATTTTACATATTAGTTTAAACTAATTTGAAAATTTTTTCATAAACATATTGTTAATAGAAGGATTGTCGAAAAGGTATCCTGATGACAACTAAATCAGTACACGGAACACTTGACATTCAGAATATTCACTAGGAATAAATTGTAGATACAAGAGTCTTACATAAAAGCTTTCAATTCGTTTAAACATGTACGAATAGACTAGCGGTGAACACATTATAAAACTAACCTGCTTGTAAAAAGTCTTTGCATAAAATGTTCGTTCGCTTTTTGACCACTTGAAAACAGCTAGTGAAAGCCAAAAGTACTTAGTTGGAATCAGAATTTTGTGCTCTATCAGAATCTATACTTGGCAAGTTTTTTTTAACCTAAGGCTGATTTACTGTGAGAAAATGCTTGAAGGAAGCGAAATAATTATCTTTACAAAGCAAAATACGTTTTTTTTCGCAATCCGCTACTTTTCCAGATTATACTTAAGCGCGATTTGAATTAGGCGTTTTTGTAGAGCATTCAATCCTGCATAAAACTGGGTATTATAATAGAGAAGAACTAAAAACTATCAAAAGTTACAGATGTTTTCCTAAGTGCTACTTTCCACGTAAAACAATTTTTGTGAAAAAATCGAATTTTGGAAATTCGCCTGTTCAAATGTAGGCGATTTTGAGCCAACTTGGAGATCTATAAAAAGATGAATAGAGATGCATTTTGTAGAGAAAATTTTTCTCTACAAATTACCATATGAACAGACGTTTTATGTGTTCAATTAACTAAGCTTTAATCAAAATACAAAATTAGCAGAAATAGGATTTTGTACAAACTACATTTTCGTCTAATTCAAGTATTTGCTCTGAGTGAATCAATCTTACGAGGAAACATTCTCAAGTGATACTCATCGTTTTAGCTCATATTGTGCCCACAAGCAGATCTCGGTAAGACTAGAGAAAGTCTAAAAGGGTTCGTTCCATTGCGCCTTTGGAGCCGAGTTATGCCTAATTTACTGAATTTTCGACCCTTTTTAAGATACTGACCGAAAAATCAAATAACGAAGTTTTCATCTGAAATTTCTACCATAGATAGATATACTTACACCTAGAATATCCTGAAAGTTTCAGCCGAATAGAATGTTCCTGTGTGGAGATATTGGATTTCCAAAAAAATAGTCATTTGCCACAGATATTTCACAAAAGTCGAGTTTAATTGAAAATTCAATAACTCAACACAGGAACCTTCTATTCGACTGAAACTTTCAGGATATTCTAGGTGTAAGTATACCTATCTATGGTAGAAATTTCAGATGGAAACTTCCTTATTTGATGTTTCGGTCAGTACCTTAAAAAGGGTCGAAAATTCAGTAAATTAGGCATAACTCGGTTCCAAAGGTTCAATGGCACGAACCCTTTTAGACTTTCTCTAGTCATACCGAGATCTACTTGTGGGCACAATATGAGCTGAAACGGTGAGTATCACTTGGGAATGTTCCCTCGTTAGGTTAGAAAAAATTTCCAAGTATATATTCTGAAAGAGCACAAAATTTCGATTCCTACTAACTACTTTTGATCTTCACTAGTTATTTTCAAGCGGTCAAAAAGTGAACGAACATTTTGTGCAAAAACCTTTTTACACACAGGTTATGTTGGACTTGAACTGATTTCAATCGAAGAAGATTTATTCCAAGAAAATAGCTGACTTTTGTCAAAAATATACTAAAAACTTTCCGAACATGATTTAATCAGTTCAGTTATTTTCTTGAAATAAATTTCTTCTAATCTACCTAAGATTGTTGATCATCGTCACTACCGCATTA